AACCACATTGAGCCAGAAAGGTACACGCTGAGCAGGGTAAGGATGACCAGTGGGGGGCAGATCTTGGAAGGAAGAGCTTAGCTTGCAGAAAAGAAAAGTTTCAAGGACATTCCAGGCAGGCAATGTTCATACAAGGTGGAATTCATTCTGACTAGTTCTGGCTGTCTTTAAGATATACAAGATAAGTCTAGAGGTTAAATTTGATTAAATATTTTGAATAATTAATTGAATTATTTTGAATAATACCAAATCATACTCAGAATTAAAATACAATTTAAGTAACTTTGGGAAATAAACAGTAAAGAGATTACTTGCTTTTACAACAATAATTTTCATTATATTGCTCCATATATTGTTTGGCAATCTATGACTTACCTTATCTCAGATGATTCTTGTCAAAGCCAGGTTTGGAATCCATGTGTGACGAATTAGCTCAAAGCACTTTTACCTGCAAGGCAATAAGTCTTAATGATGCTAGCAGGAAATCGATTTAAAATGTGCATTTCACATCACATTTCTGTAATATGATTAAAATACCACATGCAATGTGGTACTGTAATTATGTTCCTAGTGTGACATTATTGTGTTTCTAGTATTGGTTGAGTTTTTCTTAGTATTAATGAAGCTGAGCGCATTCCAGTATCAAAATGACTAGGAGCCATTTTTCTGATAAAATAGGGAAGTAAATATTCTAGTTAAAGTTTTGTGTGGGTAATATCAGCAGACTATAGAAGTTAAGCCACATACAGCACTAGAGGAAGTCAATATTATTAATGATTGATAGCAGACAGCATCTGATTAGAGCAAAGGATCTTTTAAAGTCCTCTGTTTTTTGAGGGGGTTGAGGGGTTTGGGTTGGGTTGTTTTTTCCAAAAAGAAATTATTATAAAGTGTTTTAAGATTTGAAAGAATTAATCCATCCAGCTTAAAAATGTAAAGCTATTTCAAATAGATGTAGTTGAAGAAAAAATAGGTATAGGAACAGTGGTGTACTTAGAACATTTAAACTTGAATTAGTTAATTGAAAAAGGAAAATTACTGAATCTGTTCATAGAGATTAAATATGTATTAGCACTTGAAACAAAGGGAAACAAAAGTTCCAAAATAACACAAATGTTGTCATAGTGAAGAAGAACAATGTCTAATAATAACTGCACTCATGACTCATACAGTCATAGAGTGTTAAGGGGTTGGAATGGACCTTAGAGATCATCTAGTCCCAACTTCCCCTGCCCTGGGCAGGGACACCTCCCACTAGACCAGGTTGCTCAAGGCTTTTTCCAACCTGGCTTTGAACACTGCCCCTGTACTTTACCCCCTGTTAAAAACAGATTTATGTTGATTCTGTTGTTTCCATTATTCCAGGTGTTGTGTTGTGAGCTGAAGTCTGGTGTGTGGCTTTGGGTGTGCCATGTGAAACAGACAATTATTAGAGACCTCCAACTGTGCTCAGAGCCGTGATAATATAACCCACATATTTTACTGTAATAGAACAAGTTAGTCTTCTTTTTTGGTTTCTCTCAGATAAAGGTTGTGCTCATTGTCTAAACTCCAGATGAACAGCATCTTTCTTCATTTCAGTCAGCTTAAATCTTTTAAGACTTGGAATCTGTGTATTGTTTTGTTTTATTTGCTGTTATTAAATGCTGTTATTACAAGACATTCCTAAGGGATTCCTCAGACAGGTTTTGAACATTGTATTGCTCTTTGGGACATCAAAGTAATCACAGTGGAAATTTACTGAAACATTTAACAGCTATTATGAATAAAAAAAGCATATGCATACTATTCCCTGGCTAAAAAACAGAAAGCAAACCCAATCTGGAATCACGATTAACAACTATTATGCCCAGAAGGCATTATTACAGGAACATCTCAGTAAGCCATACATCTTTTTGACAGCTATATTTTTTGACAGCTAGTAGGCAGTAGGGAATCAATGATTTTAAGACCTTTTTTGAATCAACTCATTCAAACATATGGGGACTCTTTTGCTTTTGGAATTAAGTATTATAAAAATCTTCGGAGTTTTCACTGTTATTCTTAGAAAAGCTGTAAGTTATTAGTGAAGCTATATTGTGTGATCTATGAAAATTAAATTGTGGAAGTTTCTAAATAATCAAATAGCTTCCATTACCTCCTTGCATTATAAGAAGTTCTTTACCTATGTGTTGGCATAACCTCCAATGATAGCTGTGTTCTTTTGTATACAATTAAATTTACCTTTAGAAATAAGCATAAAATATAGAGTTGAATCCAGATTTAGCAAAAGACTCGATTAACTGTTTCTCTGTATCCTAGGGAATACATACCTCTGCATTATCTTGGGTTGATTTATTTGACATGCTATTTTTTCTTTTCTTACTGAAGAAACTGCATTTTGGGCAGGAGCATTATTCTTGTCCTGTGCCATTTAGTTTTTTCTGGCTTTATAGAAATTCAAAGGGTTAATATGGATTTCTTTAAAAGCAAAGAACCTCAGTGCTCATATTAAAATAATTCTACATTGTTTTCAATAAATTATGGTTTTAGAAACACTGTGAACTGTAAAAGCCATATATGTTGTAGACTTAAATTCCAGACTGTGTTATTTGTGTTACCATGATTCCTCTTTTTCTTTTTTTTTTTTCTAATAGGAAGCTGCCACTAAAGGAGGAAAATGGCAAAGAAGCTTTAAATCCAGAAACCATAGAAATCAAGGTTGCTAATGACATCATCCAGTCAAAAGAAGATGATAGCAAAGCATAATAAGATAAAATACAGCTGTCTGGATACTGCATTTGGATTGAAGTAATCCCGTGACCAAAACTTTACAGCTGACCTTAATTTCTTGGGAAACTTAAGCTTGGAATAGGTAGTACATGTGTACATATGATGAAACAGTTCCTATCCACAGTTCCTTTCTATTTTTATTTTTTTTAATGTTTTTAGTATGTAGTTTTGCTGACACCAAGTACCATGGTATAAAATTGAAAAAGCTGCAGATAAGAAGTGTAATTTATTATATGACAAACTATGTCTATTTAGAAGAAAAGTTCTAAAGCACCCCTAACCACAAAGAACACATCAGGTCTCTCCAGATCTTACAGTGAAAGGTACATACATAAAGTGCCATATGCTACTGTATTTATTTCCATTTATAATAAAACAAAATTTTAGATTGCCTTTAAATTTAAAAAAAAAAATGAAAACCAGTCTTGGTATAACATTTAAGACCTTAGCACTGACAGACACTCAGTAGTCATTCCAGCTGTGATTATCACTTGAAGCAAACCAAAAAAAAAAAATAGACACTCTTCAACACAGAGCCAGGTCCATCTGCAGTTTCATCTGGGTTCTTTGGGAAAATATAAAGCCGCTAACCACAATGTAAGGATTTATACATACTTGGCTAAGTAATTCGTTAGAGTATACTGGTCTCTTCCTAAGTACGTGAGTGTGACTCTGGAAGGCTCCAGGATTTTCAGTGCATCATTTTTTCTGTATTAAAGTTTTGGAGGTTGCCTGTGAACTAAAATGCAGGATAGGTGTGCAAAGAAAATTTTTTAAAATCACAATCTTGTCTTCAAGTGAAAACTTACAATATTTGTCCCAACATATTTATACATATAGAGTATTCATTCTACTTTTTGTTTTAACAGTTTAGACAAGGGATAAAGCCGTGTTTTAGTGAAGTAGATACATTTTCTCCCAAATCAGAACATAAAATATTAAAGTTGGCCTTATTAAAGCTACACTTGTTCCATTTAATACCCTTTGTCTTAACAAATAAAATGTAAGAACAGATGCAAAGGCAGACTCCGTCTAATTAGTTAGGAACAGTTTTAAATTATTAAGTAATGCAATCTTAATTCAGCCAAATACATCTTTTTTTCCTGTCAAGCATTCCTTAAGATATTACCTTTTCCTGTTCTGGCCAATGTCCCCTATTCTGAAATTAAACTGATCTATTTAATACAAAATTCATTCATATTTAGCAACATTGATTTAATGGTGCCACTAATTGGAGCAACATAGTTTGTTTCCATTCCAGTGTAGTGTTTCCATACCTATCAAACTCTTCAAAGTCTTGCTTTGGAAGAAGTAGATAAACCATATAGAAAACTAGATTGAAAAATTCTACTTGTCAGGAGTAAATGGTAGAGAACATTGTAGATTTTCCACATGTAAGTCATGCCTGAGTTTTAAGTGTAGCTTTACTCAACAAATTGTGTCCTCTCCGTGCTATATCTGAATTTTGCTCGTATTTGAATTCCTGACACTGGTTGCCTTTTGTGCAGCCAAACTGAAATGAAATGTCAAAGGGTGTCCTTAAATTGTTACAATAACCTTCTTGTTAATGCAAACCTAAGTGCATTTGAAAGAGTTGAGGAGGATAGATTTAATTCTTAGATCTTTCTTATTTTTTAAAAACCAAGTTATTTTATGGGGCTTTTACAACTTTTCATCACCCTGTGAAATACCTACAATGAACCAAGTAGCTGAGGAAAGAGGCATATCACTGGTGTGCCTAGGATAGGAGGCTGAGTTCCCACAAAACCACTACCAAAGGAAAAAGAATGAGCAAGAGGGGATATAGCAATGTGGGATGAAAGTCATGATAGATAATAATTTTAAATTGCTCAAAAGAAGTTTCTATAAATGCCAAGGCACTAATTCTGGATGAAGGAAAGATGGAGGCATTCCTTTGTGACCTCTCAGTGTAGCTCCAACACACTGAGCAGGCAGTACTAACAAATAGTTGCTAGTCTATAAAATTTCTGTCCTGATTCTCTCTAAGTACACAGTGAGCAGGACTGTCCCCTAACCCATAGTTAAGAGAAACAGTTGTCTCACTTATAACTATGAATATATATTCTTTCTACAAAGTATGTATTTGCAGCTAGAATTTCTCCCTCTACAAAAATTCAAGGAAGGGACCTGGACAATTCCAGCAATTGAGAACAATTTGGTTGGTGTGTCTTGAGCATCCTCTCACACATTATTTTTACCAGGATGAGGATGAAGATAGGAGATATCAATTCCTCTTCTACCTGCTATCACAAAGTTGGGTGGTGCCGCATGTATTAACATAAGTCAATCTTCCCTAGGCATATTGGTGAGGGGGTTATTGTTGGTTTTTCTATATTTTTGTTTTGTTGGGTTTGGGTTGGTTTTTGTTGGGATTTTCTTCTGGGGTCTTTTTGGTTGTTCTTTTTTGTTTTGTTTTCCCTAATAGGGCCTCTAATTACAGTGTGAAAGGATTAGAAGATTTAAGAGGTCTTGTCAGCACATTTATTTTTAATACACTGTGCTACTCTTTACAAGTAAAACATACTGCAAACTTTTTTCAATATTGGGAGCAAAATCATTTCCCACTATATTGTATTACAAATCAAAAGCTGTTTCCAGGAGTATTTACTTTCTTCTTGCTGTTATGTCTTTTACCAGTTGGGCTATGTGAGGGCTGAGAAAACATCTCTACATTCCTGATGGACTGTCCAAGCATACCTTTTTGGTCTGTGGATTATTAGGTTATCTCTTGTGCTTTGACTCTGTGCTGTGCAGGAGAAAACCAAACTCTAACTATGAAAGAATGCTTAAAAACACTGATATTTGCAAATATTTCCAAATGAGGGACAGCACATAGTAATTTGTAAGATATGTGTAGAACTGGAATAACAACATTTGTTTATTTTCTTTTCCTATTCTAGACTAAAACAAAAACAACAAACAGATATCTGTATAAATGTCACTTTTACTGTCTAAAAGTAATTTTAAGTGTTAGTATGAAATGTCAGAAGAGTTGACAAAATATAACTATTTGTAAAAGTAATCTGAATTGTTACACTAACATACTCCAGGGACAAGGGTGGGAGGGAACCATTGAAATTATTAATGATACAAAATTTGGCAGTGACAATCTCTTTTAGACAAAAAATAAGGAGTACAATTAAGTAAAATTACTTAGAGCTCCTTGTTATTATTTTTAGAAGACCTGTATTCTGATTTACCACACTAGTAGCAGAGTTTTAATTAATATTTTAAAATTTTGTATACAGAGTTTTTTCCTGGGTTTATTTGTTTATTTCCTTTTTTTGACTTCTGAGATTTTTTGTGGTTGCAAAAATATTTACTATTCTGGTGATGCTAATGCCTAATGTGACAAAGATTAATTTATTTAGGCCTCAGTCTTGCAAGAAATTTTGTGTGGCTGAACCCACCCCTCATATGGCACCTCACTGGTATCAGTGGGGTGGATGTGAGCATGAAGATGGATGTAGTTTCCTAGGAGAACTTGCAGGACCAGGCCTACTTTCTATCTCTTCATAGATATATACAACATAGTTACACAGTGACCATTATCTACAAAGGCTGTTTGACAACAGTCCCTGGTATAATAAATTCCAACTGAAGTCTTCAGCCTCTGCATCAATGTTCATCCAAAAAAAGTAGCATTCTTTTTATGATGGTAATTACTTTCATTATTTATTTAAGTGCCAATCATCAAACTGTAGTATAATCATCATGCCATTTTTTCTGTTTCCTAGACCAGATAATGGAAATGTATTTGTGCCTTTTGATAGCATGCCACTCTGCTTTATTAAAGAAAAATATTCAATAATTTGTTTACAAAGCCTGTTTAAAATAATTGAAAGCTTTACAGTGACATACTTTTCTGCTCAAATATGCTCAAATACTCATCTAAATTAAACTGGAGAAACTACTCTCAAACCACATAAATATTTTGAACACAAAATTTGCAAAAATCTATTAAGATCACAGTTCCAGTCAGGGTCATGGTGGGTGTATTTCTGCTGAAAAGTTTCAAGTAGATGGAGTACGTGGTGGGTACATAAGGGTGTTTTGACCAATTTATCAAGTTGGAGAGTCAGATATAAAGTCTCCTTAGTTCTATTTAGGTGCTTAGACCCAAAACATTAAAATCTTTTCTCAAATCTGAAAGATGATGTGGAGCATCTTCCAACCATTTTATCTCTGGAGTAAAACTGAAGTGAATATTTATTTTGCAGTCATCTGTGGCCTCACCATCACTGTGAAACCTGTCATAGGATGTAACATCTTTGTAGAGCAGTTGTGTCTGTTGGATGATATTCATTCCTGATTAAAGGACCTCTAAAAAATCATTAACTGAAAAAGCTCAAGGCTCCTGTTATGAATTGATCTATGTATGGAGAGTTGCTGAGCATGCTGCAAGAAAAGCCACAGTGTAATTTGGGTCTCACTGGGCTTTAAGACACAATCTGACTTCAGCAGGGCCTGAATTTCATCCCTCCATCTCAGCAAGGCTCTGCAAATCCTCAGCTGATTAAGCCTCTTCTGTTGACTTCTAGGTGTGAGTAGAACTTAAATGTCCTACTGGGCTCCTTCTAACATTTGGCACAGAGGAGGGTTTTTTTCTACCAGGAGTTTGCACTGATCAGAAAATGGTGATAGAATGCCTGATGACAGTTTTATTCCATACATTATTATATGTCCAGAAATAAAACATCTCTTTAAAATAATTAATTGTGATTGCAATATTTCTTTAGGTGAAGATGAAAACATTCTAAGTAGCGATCCTTCTTCTTCAGTCTCTAGCTTCAGATAATTGTTGTGGTCGATGAAAAGTGACCATGGTTAAATACATCTTTTTTTAAAAAGGATCCACCTCCTTTTTCAGACTTTTTTATATCAGTGCCTGAAGTACCCTGTCCACTAGTCAGCAGTTCTGTACTAGTGGGGGGAAACCACTCACTAAGTTTTAAGTGATCTTCAGTATTTTCACTGCACATATAGATGTGTTCTTATATCAATTTATTTGAACCTGAGTCAAAAAGAAGCCATACAAAATTGGCTTTGGATCAGGTTCTGAGAAATCAGTTTACCAGCCTATCTTTTCTCTTAACAGGCATTGAAGGCCTCATGATGTTTGACTTTCAAACTTGAATATTGGCCATTTTTAGCCCAGA